ATATATTGGTTCATTTATTTCTATAAGTTTTATACTTGATTTCTGTTACACTTGTTCTTTCCTTTAGAAATGTTCTATATAATGAATTCTTTTTTTCACGCATTTACTAGACCTTTAGTTGTCCACGGACTAGTGACGTTTTCCCTCCTTTTACTTTCCCTCTGTGGACAGTGTGAATCATATAGTTGTAAACGTGGTCAGAAATGCTTTGTAAGCTGCATTTACTTTGGTTTCTTCAATAAGATCTTTCCAGTTGTGTTCTTCTAGACGTCGTTTAAAAGAATTCAGTGACTCATTAATCTGTCTGGTGAATATCGTCTCCAAGTTTTGATTATCTACATTTTTTATATTTTTTTAATATAGAGCACAAAAACAGGAAGGTGATTATGGAGTAAGAAGCTGTCAAAAATATTCGTGCGCATAAAATAGAAATCGGTGCATATTTGTCTGTAATTGTGCATAAAATAAATATTTGTAAACTCTTAAATGAGTCCAGTCGTACATAAAATATATTGTGTGTATTTTATCCATCAGAATACGAACTGAAAAGTTACGACGTCATGAATTACAATCACCAAATGAAACTTTACGATTACACTTTCATCAGTACGAATACGAATTCACAGACGGAACTTTACTGTCAAAAATACATCATCACTTCACAGACATTATTCATCGAGCAGAAGAAACATCGATCAAGATCAAGACTGCACATGCGCTAAAGTAGCTACACGCCAAAATCTTGTCATTATCGGGGAAGGAGCCATGGCGACCAGCAGAGTCACGTAGGCATAAACTTAAAACATTTCTACATTGTTCTGATATAAATGTATTTGTTAAACACTGTAATATACGGATACTGAAACTTCTCTTCGACTTTGTCAGTGCTGTGTCTAGTAACTAGTGGTATAGGCTGATCAGTCGTCAGTCCTGGGGTTGCCAACCGTCCCTTGAAAAAGGGAATCATCCCGTATTACCGTGAGTATCAAAAATAGTGTGTAGGTAGGACTGACCGAGCATGCGCAGTAGTGCTCTTCTCTCTCGCGGGCACATGCACGGAGCGCCGGCTTTTGTATCACGTGATCGCTTTGACCAATTAGAGCGAGAGAAGCTAGAGCGGAGCCAGAGGAACGATTATAAAGCGTTTTTTAAGACAACTGAAGGGTTTTGAGCGGAGAAAAAGTTTATGTTCTAAAAATAGGTTAAAATCGCCAACAAATCCGACATTTTTGAAAGTTGTAGGTCCCTGTCAGCCGAACACGAGCAGTTTGTGATTACATTGCCTCTATTAGAAAATTCCCCTCAGCCCATGGGATTTTTTCCGGCTGAAGTTCCAGTGAGTGTCACTACATCAACTGGTGGCAGCTACAAGCAGCAGCTCCCTATCCACTTATTTGAATAGATCCATGGATATTTGTGAAGGCCTCATTCTTGTCCCTTATTTATTTTTCAGGGAGTTGGCAACTCAGTCATGGTTTCAAGCTGTATCAAGATATGATTTGATTTCAAATTTTAATTTTACATTTCTCCGAATTTTTGTAAGGATGGGCAAGCATATTACTTACTTAGTATCATTGCCTGGCCAGTGGTCACTTTGTTTGTAGTCTGTTTTTATTTTAGGGGAATAACTTAATTGATATCTTTGTGCTTGGTCCAGTTAAACGACATATTGGGCACAGCTCAAAACCTTGTGATCTTGTTAAGCAGCATAGGTGCAAGACAAGTGAATGGACGTCATCCGCTGAGGGACAGAGGCAGGCCCAAGGCCAGGGCCATATTCAGGCAAACACTGTGTCCCGTCGTGTGTCTGTACAGCAGGAAATGACAAGGTGTGCCTCTTGGGTTAGGGTCAAAACTGGATTAAAAATGTAAAAGCTCTACCATGTTTTCCCTCTGCTTGCACACTCAATACCAAAGAGCTTATAAAACCTTTACTTTCTGAACCTGGGATGTCCGCCTCTAGTTAGGGTCAAGTGATTCTAAACTTTGAAGAGTAGCATATAATCCATTTCATGTGTAGTTTTTGACTGGTATATAGTGTCTCACATCTCTCCTCAACCAGTCCAACCAATTCAATGTTTGTATTTTGCTTTTGAATAAACAAACTTTTTGTATTTTCAGATCTTTTCCTGGACTTTTTCGTAGGGAAGCAAAAGGAAAAAAACGTTTTTCACCATATTCTCGCCTACAGAAGACTTTCTCAGTCAACGTTTTCTTACTTAACAAGCTGTGCTCAAAGACACCAAAAGGTGATGAGGAGCTGCAGCTCCTGCTGGCTGGTCTGGGAAAGCCGTCTGTAACACTGGCTGAAAATGCCACACGTTCAGAGGTAAGTAGTGTTTTGTTACTTTTGTTGCTATTGTTATTACCTCCACCAAGGAAGTTAAGTTTTTGCCTGAGTTTGTGTGTGTGCAAGATAACTCAAAATACTGCATGAATTTGGTGGGGATCCTGAACGCAGTCTGACATTTGTGTTGCGTCAGTCACCCTACATTGCCTCGGTGAAGGTCGGCTTTTTGAGTTGTAGTTGTATTTAAACTGTATGCATTGCTCAGAAATGAAGTCATGATGAAATGTGTAAATCCAAAACTTGTATCCTCATGAAATGTGTTATACAAGCTGACAGATTTACTCTTGGAGGCCGACCCAAGGCTTGGCAGTATCACTGGGGGCTGGATGTTGCATAAATCCACAGGTATGCTCTTCTATACTCAGTGTAGCTGTAGGCTGTATGGATTGATATCTTATGGCTGATTAGGATACAAATGTGAACTAGCAGGTATCTTACTGTTTACTCTTATAGTACAGGCCAAAATTCAGATAATTATTGCATTTCAAGTACCCACTGGCCAAATGTGGGGGACCATAATAACCGTAGCTGTTTTACCATTTTCCAGGTGGTGGTGGGCAGCGGAAATGAGTAGTCATCCCTCCTGACCCAGAAGGGAACAGTGGACAGCAAATCAAAGCAGCTACTGGAAATGGAAAATGCAGATTGACACTACGCCTCTACCTCCGAGTGCAAAAGAATTTCAGCATGTGCCCAAATGTCCATGTGCCAACTGCGGAGTAAAGATTCCTTTACAGGCTCTCCCAAGTCATATTCAAAACTGCAAGGACAATATAGATTTGTGCAGTTCTTCAGAGGTTGTATGCCAAGTCTCTGGCCTTTCAGGCCTTGTGCAATATTGGCTGTAGCAAATATAGACCCTGTTGAATAATGTAATGTGCTTTGCCACACCTAGGAATGGTGCACCCGCGAACATGAAAATCTGGAAAATCAGACAGAAATGGTAAGATTTCTGTTTATTTGCATCCTGAAATCGTAAAATTCAATTAGACGTGTAATACTATGCTTTGATTAATAAAACGTATACATCACGTATCATGCAAATGTTTTTTATCATTTCTTATTTTTCGACTGCAGAATGTCCTGTATGCAGACAAGCCTTCAGCACTGACGTCACTGAGGCTCATGCATCAGATTGTGGATTAAGGTACTTGAACAGAAAATGCCTTAGGTTGTGTTAACAGCTACTTTTTTCAACTCCACTACATTTATTTTACAACATTTGTGTTTTGTAGAGAAGCAGCTGACAAAGTTCAAAGCAACACCTCAGAAGATCCAGTGAAATCCCTTCAAAGGTAAAGGCCCAGTTGCTCTCAGACTAGTCAATTTAACGTATGTTAACGTGTAGTGGTTTGTCTGTTTTTGTACCTTTTGCTGTCTGTTACACACCTACTAACACCACTAAGCAGCCTCAAAGAACAGAGATACAGCCTGGTTGACATCACAATTTCCCTTTAACAGTACTTTGCATTGTAGCTGTAATACATCCTTGAACATGCATTAACTGATGATAAACATTGTCATTCATTGTCCCTTGCTTAATTTCCACTACATTATTTAATTAATTCCTTTCTTCTCAAGCACTGAAGATATATTGCGGTTCCTTGAGGAACAAGTTGATACCACAACACAATTTAAATTGTGTGTGGACAGAGAGCAACTACTGGACAGAACCATTCTCCAGTGGAGAAGGAATAAAAATGGCATCTCCTACAAGCGGCCTTAAGGTTGTGTACATGGGAGAGGCGGGCATTGACACAGAGGCTCTCCCAAAGGAATTTCTGACTGGTGAGTTTTTAACAGCTTGTCCTAATAAAAGATAAATAGTGGATTCTGTTGGGACTCCAGGTGTCAATCTAATTTTTTGTCACAGCCACATGAACATTATGATTTTTTTTGTGTGTGAAAGTGTGTATGTGTGCGTGATTTCTTTTATAGACATGATGTCAGCCATTGAAAAACGGTTCTTTGAAGGCCCTGGGAACCAGGGTAAAAACCCCAAGTACTCACTGACTGACCTTGATCATGAACATTTCAGGTTGTGTCACTTTTTTTTCCCCACATATTACAGTCATGTGTCACCCATATGCAGGGTTTAGCTGTCCTTGAGCAATGTGCTCAACCCAAAAGAAGTAAAGTTTGTCTTTTGCGTGTGCTTTTTCATTTTTCATTTTTTCTGCCTTGCTCACAGAACTATAGGTGAAGTAATGGCAGTGAGCCTAGCCCAAGGTGGCCCACCCCCTGCTTTTCTAAAGACTGGTGTTACAGTTTCCTTTGCTATGGTGAGGTGGATTTGAGCACACTTTCTCAAGAGGATGTAGCGGATCTAGAATCCTGCCAGCTTATCCACAATGTAAGTGTTCTGTGTGACTTTTTTGACTGAATGACATTGATGTTTTAGCACCTGTTCTGTTTTCTGTGTTTGTTTGTTTTGTTTTTTTTCTTTTCCTCGTAACATTGCCCACTTACCCAGTGAATCAAGTCTTGCTTCTCACTTTGAGAACCCTTTACTATCTCCACATATGTTAACCCCTCACCCCTTATACTCCTTCCCAGTCCATCAGATCCTCTACTCCTCTCTGACCCCTGCCTCAAACTCTACCTTGGATGTGGAAATCTCTTCCCTGCCTGTGTGACTGCTTTTCACTTCCTCACTTTAAATCACATCTTCCTGTTTCAGGAACACATCTCCACCTGACTGTGTTTTAGCATATCCCTAGTTAAATGGATGTTTTTCTACTTTGTTGTTGTTTTGTGAATGACGCTATACAAATGTAACCCGTTTTTATTACGATGCTCTTTTTTTAGGTTGAAAAGGCAACTGATCCTGAATCACTGATGGTGTGGGTCGATCACATTGTAAGCTGTGGTTACTCAGGCCAGATCAAACTGGACAACAAAAAAAGCATAATTCGGTTAGTATTTTTTTATATTTAAAATTCTAAATATTTCCCATGTAAAATGGTTATTTTGACATGGTGTTGTATTTCTTTTTTTGTGTGTGCTTCTCTTAAAAGAGCGATAGTACTGCATTCCACTACGAGATTAATCCCAATACTGCAGCAGGTGTGAAAGGGTCTGGAGCTGTATGGTCTCATGGACCAGACGGCTGCCCACCCACAAGCTTCTTATCCGCTCTTTGTACCTGGGAAAATTGAAAAGGTAACAGGTTTATAAGTTATTTACCGTATTTTTCAGACTATAAGTGGCACTTTTTTCAATGGTTTGGGTGGTCTTATACCCCGGTGCCACTTATATGTTAAATGTTCACAGTGACAGCCTCGAGAGGGCGCTCTAGATCAGTATCTGCTGCTCCTATTCCTCCTGTAACACTGTCACTTCACCCTCTCCTGCGCTTGCCTCCTATAAGTAGTGACATTTTCAGCTGAAAACAGTAATCGGGTCAGCCTCTATGGTATAAAACTGTGTCGTTCCTGTAGACGGTGCTCAGCAGCCTTGAACAACAGGAGTGTGGTTCTATGAACCTTTCCAATTCCATCTGCCTTCATTCTTTACACCTGATGCTGACTTCATTATGATGCACTGCAAGGCAGATTACAGTGAGAAGGGAACAGCTGGAGAAAGAGCTGAGTGGAAGACAATGAACTTTCTTCAAGAGTTTTTGGAGGCGTTGGAGATGTCAGGTACTTTGTGTACACAATGCATCTGAGTAAAGTATGATGTACTAAACACATGCCTGTGGTGAGTTCATATACCAGACAATATGTGGGCAATTTCACTGGTGAACACCTAGTAGTATTTCTATGTACTGTATGTGATAACAAATGTCCTTGAGTACTACAACTTGGACACATGTATTTTTATAAAGTTATAAAGTAAACTTTTTTTTACCTCATTCAAATTGTTGTGATTTGTTCATCAGATGTGAAAGTGGACTGTTCAGATGCTGATGAAGAGGTTCTAACAGTGCAGCATGTGCTGAAGTGGATGACGGGGCAATGCCACATCCCCATTCTCCCGGATGAAAAGAGAAGTTTCAAAATAACATGCAAGTTCAACCATGAATGTATGGAGCAACTAGGAGATCACTCAGTGTGTTATCCCACTGTCAGTGCATGTACTCAGACTGGGACTTTTCCACTACAGCATCTTGACACTTACCACAGTTTTAGAAGAGTCATGAGTGAAGCTGTTCACTATGGTGCTGGTTTCCATAGAGTAACACAACCAGCTGGATTTCATTTGCATTTATTTCAGTAATTAATTCAGTAGTAGTTCTTTGTGGTTCATTCTTCATTTTCACCCAAGTACAATTTTGTGTGTATGGATGTGTTTGTGTGTGAAAAGCAGGACTAAGTGGATTGATGTAATGAGGGGTTTTCACACATCTTCAGCAGTCTGAATGTTTTCTCCTTCCTGTTGGGACCACTGATGGAAATATGACAAATGACGCGCGCACGGCATTGTTATGGTCAGTGGCTGTGTGCCTGCATGGACAGTTTTCTGCAAGGTTCTCACATACATTTTTATTTTTTTTTTTTTGAAACTCGTTTCAAATGTTACACTGACAAATAAACCACCATTAAACCACTGCCTTATGTTCATGTCTTGGACCATATTTGTATACATTCTGCATTTAAGTTGACCTCTGAAAAACACTCATGGGACATTTTGCAGTAATGTTAACGCATTTTATTAAAGTCCTAAATATGTCTAGTTTTAGGGGGGGGGGGGAGAGAAGGAAAAGCAGACACAGACCAACACATAGTTGTATGTTCCAAAATGCTTTAATTGAAAATGGCCAGTTTATATATCTGTACAGTTCCTTTTGAAGCAGTGAACAGTTAGGCACATTATGAAAGTTCTCTTGATGTCACAATCTGCATCATTGCTACGTACAGGTCCCTACCAAATGATTCTGAAGCTGCAAGGGGATTAATGACCTCACAGCTTCCATTGTAGCTGGAGACAGGGGGCATTCATATTCGGGGACTTGCACATCAAAATCATTTGTGACCGCGTCAAATGATTCCCAGTCCGTTCCAAACAACTCTGGGTTCTGTAAACAAATGAATTAAACAAAATGTGTTTAATGGAACAGGTAAGCAAGGGTATAATGTCGTCTCAAATGTCTTCATGTGTCTTAAATGTAGCTTCACTTGAATCCATGGTGAAACGTTTCAAGTAACTACATACAGTGTATATGACTGAAAATGACAAAAGCCACTTGACTAAGGACTACACATGATATACAAACCTCCAATTCTTCAGTTTCACTGTCAGACATGTGTCCCAAAACCCAGAGTTGGTTGGGAGTGAGACCTTCTGTCCTTAATGGGTGGTTATCCCATGCCTCCACAAAGGTGTGTAGGGTGTCTGCCAAACGAGGGAGGAAGACGTGATGGGCACAAAACAGATGAATAATGTTTGATAAATCCAGCAGGCCTTCTTCCTCCAGACTGTGAAGCACTTCATAGAAAAGCTGGGTGACACTGACCCAGACGTCTCGCCACAGTCGTTCAATTCTAAATTGAAGAGCAAATTAACATGACTACATTGAATATAATGACAAAGTTTAACATTAAATACTAAATTGTAACATTACATTTTTTCTTGACTACATTTTTCACGTAAATAGCCCATAAATAATGATTTAATTACTGGTGCCAGAAATAACTTCCTGTTTACCTTTGATTGTGAAGGCTCTTTCCAGCTGTGACGCTTCCTCTTCCAGTACCTTTCACACTGAACATGGCTTCAGCTACTGCCACATTTTCAACCCCTTCATCACCCCTGACCCTAGAGTGTAAGAATAAAGTTTCCATCAGAACAATCAATTCATGTATGTACAGTAGATCATAAAAGTGAGTACATCCTTTGCATATTTGCAAATATTCTCTTATATCTTTTCATGGGACAACATTATAAAAAATAAACATTTACACAAGTTAAAGGAGTTAGAGTACAGCCTGTGTGACTGCAGAATTTTGCTGTTTTCTGAAAATATCAACATTCTGCCATTAATGTTGAAACAGCTGGTAACAAAAGTGAGTCCATTTCCTAATTGTGCCCAAACTGCCAATATTAAAAAAGTGAAAACCACAAATTACCTGGAAGGCCAACCATACTTTTCAACTGCTTTCAGAAAAAATGTAAGAGCCGTGCTTGATTTGTTGTTTGTTGCTGGCTCAAGGTACATGATCTATAAAAAGAAACAGATAAACACAAATGCTTGCAAATAAGAAACTGAAGGCTAGTCTGATACAGCAAATATTTCACAGGTCCTGGTGAGTGACAATCTGTTTTCCATGTTCAACATTAACAATACATTTCACTAAAGTCATTATGTTATATCACAACGTCAACAGTCATTAATACATCATTTCTTGACCACAGGCCAATCACCCAGTCCTACAAATTGTATTGGTCTGTCTTGTCCCAGTACAATGACATACCTTTCTAGAATAACCATCAATTGCCCCAAAGATGTTGTACAATGTTGTACCTGGAAAACAACATGTCCTTTCTGTATTCAGAGAGAATGAAATGAAACCTTCATTGATGACACTTAAGAAAGTTACCTTATTCATTTATGATTTGTATCCATGTGGACTAAGGACAATGCACCAAGCTGCATCATTGGCTGGAAAACTCCATCCGCATCAACCCTGTGCATTGAGTTCTTTACCCGTTCCCACTGGACCCTGTGTCCTTCTGCCTGTAAGAATCCTTTAACCATTCTGTCCCTGCAAAGTCAAACAGTCAAACTCAGCTTTATTGTCACTTTCTTCATGCTCTAGACACACAAAGGAATCAAAATTACATTTATCACTGTCTCATGCATAGACAAGACGGAACAAACGTTAAAGTGCAAGACAGGACAACATTTAGTAATGTAAAGTAATATATTTCTTGATATTATTGATAATACAGCATTATCTAGCTCAGTGTCAGTTAAGCTACTGTATGAAGATCTGCTTGATAATCCAAGATCATGCATGTGCCTGAAGATGGTTGATTCACTGACCCCCAACAGGTGTGCAATACTTAATATTGGTAACGACATGTCAATCAAGTGGGCCAGCATGTTACAAGAGCATGTGCTCCCTCTGGAGTAAGGGCTGCATTGATCTTGTCCTGAAGGCTTAGAATGCACTGCATAATATCAGTGGGTGTGTGAATAACGGTGGAGGCAGATGTAAAGATAAATGCCTCCTGGTTAATAACTGGAAATAGTCCAGATCCAGATGGGGCTGATCCATTACATCTGTAATTCTGGTAAACAGTCGTCGCATCAACTGTGTCAGCAGAGATTCCTGTAAATATGAAATTGTTAGGTTACACATAGAGTATTTTGCTTGCATGCACTTCTCAATTTAATCTATAGTATTGTTTGTCTTAGTTTACTGAAGTCTTCCTAATACGTCATATCTGCTTGCATTCAACTAAAGCCAATATTCATAATGCACAGAATTCTGTATCATCATGATGCACACGCTCACTGCACAAACACAAAATATATAATCATGTAGAAGACTGATTACTTTGGAAAAATGGATGCAGTAACTCCTACTCTTCCTGTGAAACTTGGCAGTGTGTTATAATGAACTAGTGAATCCATCCACCCACGACACAGTGACGTTAAACTTACCGGTAAATACTGTAAACAGAGCAAGATGTTGCCTATAAACATGAACATTAACTGATGCTGGAAGCTGTAAACTGTAACATTTCATTGGCTGTGACGTCTGTAACCAGGACAGTTTGGTCGTGTTTGGTGTAAACGGGGACATTTCAGCGTCCAGAGGAACTTTTGGTCAGTTTACTTCAGTGACGTGCACCTGCGGATTGATTCATGTGAGAAATGCAGCTGAGATGAAGGTTCAGACTGACTGATGCTCGCTGTGGCTGGAGTCGTGAATGTTTTAATGTAAACATACAGAGAACCTGATATTTGCTCATTATCCCTGGGAGAACGTTATGTCTGATGTTTCCAACTGGCTCCACTCTGTTTCTACTAAGATATCGGTGCAGTTTCCCGTTCAGAGGAGGAGTTTCTACACAATATCACACAGCAGCGTTCGGTTCCCGAATTCAATGAGGCAAGACAAGACACTTTAACAATAAATTTGAATGAACCTACCTGTGGGTCAGCTGTTGTAGCTCCTTGTTGTGCCATTACTCCGCGTTTACCCTCTGCTACAACTAGAGGTGAGATCGAGCCTAAAAAATCCAGCCCGACCCGACCACGGGTATTAAAACCCGACCCGACCCGAGCCCGAAGCAAACCCGAAATGTCATATTTTATTAGTGACTCGGGAGGAGGAGCAGTGCTCAGCGTCGAGGTGTCAGTCTTTTTGCTCTCGTATGAAGCAAAGCCACATTGACACATTCAGCGAAGCCAACGCAAGTTTCTGTAGCATTTTCAACAATCAATTTGAAGCTTTTCCACACCTCACTCTTACCGGTGCCTGTTTGTCTTTTCACTTCTCCTGCCTTTAGTTGAACTTCTTGCTCCTCCATATTGGGGACACCAGGTCAAAATAGATGCAGACTTGCGGAGGGGAAGATGATTAAATGAAGAGGGGGCGTCACGTGATCCTGTTTAGTAGTTAAATAGCAATTACATTACATTACTTCTCTGTTTTATCCATATTATTTATTTTATAACAAGTATTCCTTAGTTTAGTGTCCACACATCGTTTTAGCAAACATTTTATAAACATATATTTATTTGAAGCCCGAGCCCGACCCGAAGTAATGATTGACATTCGGGTCGGTCGGTCTTTAGATCTCACCTCTAGCTACAACTTTAGCGCATGTGCAGTCTTGATCTTGATCGATGTTTCTTCTGCTCGATGAATAATGTCTGTGAAGTGATGATGTATTTTTGACAGTAAAGTTCCGTCTGTGAATTCGTATTCGTACTGATGAAAGTGTAATCGTAAAGTTTCATTTGGTGATTGTAATTCATGACGTCGTAACTTTTCAATTCGTATTCTGATGATAAAATACACACAATATATTTTATGTACGACTGGACTCATTTAAGAGTTTATAAATATTTATTTTATGCGCAACTACAGACAAATATGCACCGATTTCTTTTTTATGCGCACGAATATTTTTGACAGCTTCTTACTGCATAGTTGATCACTAACATCCGTTACTAAGATCCCACTCTGTAAGTCTGGACTAAGGACGTAGGTGAATATATTATTGATTAATGAGGAACTATGTGAGGTAATCCGTGTAGGCTTTGTTATCTTTGGGTCCACAGATTATATATATTATTATATATAGACTATATAGATTATTTATGACATTTTCAGTTGGTTTATGATCGTTACATTTCAATAAATCGATGTTAAAATCTCCGCACAGGAAGATGTCTTTTTGCTGAAGTTTTGAGAAATGTCTTACTATACAGTTTACAAATGTATCAATAATAATAATATTGATCGTGGCGTTTCTGTAAATGCAGCTGACAAGTACTTTTTTTCAGTTTGCAAATGACAGTTCCACCGTAAGACGCTCCATTATTTCCTCTTGTTACACACATATTTTTCCCCATTTTTAATGATTTCTATTTTGTTGAAGCATTTCATATCCTAGAGTCAAGTCATCAGGCTGTCATCATTTATCCATGTTTCTCAAACCACAATTACATCGAAACACATTCAACTTTCATTGACATATTCTTTGATATTGTCAAAATGTGCATTTAAACTACGACTGTTAAAGTGAATTACTGATCTGGTGTCTGTATCATTTGTTGTATAAATATTTACACTCATTGTTATTGTGATAGAAATTTGCTTTAATTAACCAAATAATTTTATGGCAAACGGCAATAGTCTATTTGTTATTATTATTACTATTAATCAATTGATTCAACTTTAAAAATGCCCTGATTTTAGTCTCGTGTGAGAAATACAGTTGGACAAGATCCAAACCAAACTGGACCATCTGACCAACGCACCTGGAAGACCAGACCAAAGACCAGACCAAAGACCAGACCAAAGACCAGACCAAAGACCAGACCAAAGACCAGACCAAAGACCAGACCAAAGACCAGACCAAGACCAGACAAGGACCAGACCAAGGACCAGACCAAGACCAGACCAAAGACCAGACCAGACCAGACAAAGACCAGACCAAAAGACCAGACCAAGGACCAGACCAAGGACCAGACCAAAGACCAGACCAGAGGACCAGACCAAAGACCAGACCGAGGACCAGACCAAAGACCAAAGACCAACCAGACAGACCAAGACCAAAGACCAGACCAAAGACCAGACCAAAGACCAGACCAGACCAGACCAAGACCAAAAGACCAGACCAGACCAGACCAGACCAGACCAGACCAGGACCAGACCAAAGACGAGACCAGACCAGACCAGACCAGAAGACCAAGACCGACCAGACCAGACCAAAGACCAGACCAAAGACCAGACCGAGGACAGACCAAAGACCAGACCAGACCAGACCAAAAGACCAGACCAAAGACCAGACCAAAGACCAGACCAGACCAAGACCAGACCAAAGACCAGACCCAAGACCAGACCAAAGACAGACCAAAGACCAGACCAGACCAAAGAAAGACCAGACCAGAGACCAGGACCAGACCCAAAGACCAAGACCAAAGACCAGACCAAAGACCAGACAGACAAAGACCAGACCAAAGACCAGACCAAAGAAGACCAAAGACCAGACCAGACCAGACCAGACCAAAGACCAAGACCAAAGACCAGACCAAAAGACCAGACCAAAGACCAGACCAAAGACCAGAGACCACCAAGACCAGACCAAAGACCAAAGAAGACCAAAGACCAGACCAAAGACCAGACCAAGACCAGACCAAAGACCAGACCAAAGACCAGACCAAAGACCAGACCAAAGACCAAGACCAAGACCAGACCAGACCAAAGACCAGACCAAAGACCAGACCAACAAAGACCAGACCAGACCCAGACCCAGACCAAAGACCAGACCAAAGACCAGACCAAAGACCAGACCAAGACAGACCAAGGACCAGACCAAAGACCAGACCAAAGACCAGACCAAAGACCAGACCAAAGACCAGACCAAAAGACCAGACCAGACCAGACCAAGACCAGACCAAGACCAGACCAAAGACCAGACCAACCAAGACCAGACCAAAGACCAGACCAAGACCAGACCAGACCAGACCAGACAAGACCAGACCAGAAGACCAGACCAGACCAAGACCAGACCAAAGACCAGACCAAGGACCAGACCAAAGACCAGACCAAAGACCAGACCAAAGACCAGACCAAGGACCAGACCAAAGACCAGACAAAGACCAGACCAAAGACCAGACCAAGGAAGACCAGACCAAAGACCAGACCAAGGACCAGACCAAAGACCAGACCAAAGACCAAAGACCAGACCAAAGACCAGACCAAAGACCAGACCAAAGACCAGACCAAGACCAGACCAAAGACCAGACCAAAGACCAGACCAAAGACCAGACCAAGACCAGACCAAAGACCAGACCAAGGACCAGACCAAAGACCAGACCAAAGACCAGACCAAGGACCAGACCAAAGACCAGACCAAAGACCAGACCAAGACCAAGGACCAGACCAAAGACCAGACCAAAGACCAGACCAAGGACCAGACCAAAGACCAGACCAAAGACCAAAGACCAAGGACCAGACCAAAAGACCAGACCAAAGACCAGACCAGACCAAAGACCAGACCAAGACCAAGA